GTTAAACCCGTTTGTCAAGAGAGCACACCTCTCACATACTCTATATTACAAATTAGTGAAATGGAAAGAATAAGACGGTGCCCCAATACTCCTACTTCCTTGTGTTTGACAATTAATACTATCCTCTTTTGAAGACTAGAGGAACTGGAGATTCTTTGATTATATGACAAGCTTTTATTAACTGTGACTATTGTTTTACTGTGACACACACTCGACTGTGGTCTAAATTTGCACGACGTATTTTATGATGAAAAATATATCTCCAGGTGATGCCATCGCACACAGTATGACTTTAAATACCCTTGCTAACACCATCATCGACGTTTCTGATTAAACCTAATTTCCGGGTGTTATAATTGAAAGCTATTCAAAACAGATGGGATGAATGTGCAAATGATGTCTATGCAGGTTCCCTGCTGTCATGCAAGGGCATATGATGCACGGAACGTGTCCTTACCCCTGAATGTGTTAAATGGCTCATGTGGAATCAGCGAGTGAGATGACTAAGGGATAGCTGGCAGTGACCCAGCTTAATATGGCTAAAATAGTTGAGTGCCAGTGCCTGCATTTTTGCGAGCAAGCAGGGTGCAGAATGCAGAAGGCTGACATCTTCAGAGTCTTTCACAGGGATCAATGAGTATGTGGCTTCTGCCTAAGCGGCTAAGCTGAAGCCCTGCAGCTGATGTGGTTGCAACAGTCATTTCACATTCCGACTTTTTTTTCTTTTTTTTTTCTGCAGACTTCAAATCAAATCTGCAGCTTGTGTAGTGGAACTCACATGAAGCTGGAATCCCAATTAAACACTCCACTGAGGCAAAAGTTATCTGACTATAGGTAGAAAGACACAAGAGTTGCAAGACTGGGAAGGAAATGCACAGGCTACATCATTAAAACACAAAGGGTGCATAATGGAAAAGAAAGTGTTTCATCAGAACTTTGACAGTGACTTTGGTTCGCACACTTTTCAACGTCTGGCACAATAATTACTGCGACTTTGTGAAATAGAAGGCTCACCGAAGCCCTTGGTGCTGCTCAGCATGTTTCATTTGCTGTACTTTTCATAGAGCACTCTGCATACCAGTACACCATTTCCCTCAGCTCTAAAGCTAAAAAATAAAAAAAATTGAATATTTTTAAATATATAATAAGAGAAGTCACATTATTTTACTGAAATAAGTGTACATCTACACATTTTCGCTGCACCTGAAGAGATCTGTGCTCTTGTCTGGAAGCTTTAAATTCACTTTTGTCTTCTGATTAGATTGATGCAGCAAACAAATCAAAGGTGTTACATTGGAGATCCTGCCAAGAGTGGCAAGTAAGATCAAAGTGCATTTTGGGCAACCTGCAGGTCTGCCTCTGCACGATCGAGTAAAAACAAACAAAGGCTCTGCAAATATTTATACATGAATACATGATTTTCTAGAGCCATAATTCATGAGGAAATGTGGATGGGAAGATTGCAAAGGAAAGTGGGAGATGTGTGACGAAAAATGAATTTGAATGGTATGCTGACAGTTCCCATCGGGATTGCATAATGCATATTGCAACTTTTTCCTTCAGTACTTCTGTTTCCAGCGACCAACCTTTTCGCAAACCAGTATCCTAACGTGTGTTTGTGTGTGTCTGCATGTAAACGCATGCATGACAAAACATATTATTTCATAAACATAATGCGAATGTATGACGGTGTGATTCTGAATCATCTGCACTTTGTAATATTCAACTTTTGAATTCAACATCCATTCAACATGTTCACCTGCATGTTACAAGCCAAACATACATGAAAACACGCTGAGAGGAAAACGAGGGCTGCATGAATATCAATTAGTTGTGAGGCGCCTTTATGGTGCAGATGTGGTAGTTTTGAGAATTTTTGACTTGTAACTGAAATAAGTGTACATCTACACATTTTCGCTGCACCTGAAGAGATCTGTGCTCTTGTCTGGAAGCTTTAAATTCACTTTTGTCTTCTGATTAGATTGATGCAGCAAACAAATCAAAGGTGTTACATTGGAGATCCTGCCAAGAGTGGCAAGTAAGATCAAAGTGCATTTTGGGCAACCTGCAGGTCTGCCTCTGCACGATCGAGTAAAAACAAACAAAGGCTCTGCAAATATTTATACATGAATACATGATTTTCTAGAGCCATAATTCATGAGGAAATGTGGATGGGAAGATTGCAAAGGAAAGTGGGAGATGTGTGACGAAAAATGAATTTGAATGGTATGCTGACAGTTCCCATCGGGATTGCATAATGCATATTGCAACTTTTTCCTTCAGTACTTCTGTTTCCAGCGACCAACCTTTTCGCAAACCAGTATCCTAACGTGTGTTTGTGTGTGTCTGCATGTAAACGCATGCATGACAAAACATATTATTTCATAAACATAATGCGAATGTATGACGGTGTGATTCTGAATCATCTGCACTTTGTAATATTCAACTTTTGAATTCAACATCCATTCAACATGTTCACCTGCATGTTACAAGCCAAACATACATGAAAACACGCTGAGAGGAAAACGAGGGCTGCATGAATATCAATTAGTTGTGAGGCGCCTTTATGGTGCAGATGTGGTAGTTTTGAGAATTTTTGACTTGTAATGTCAAATGGTAAATGGAACCACCCATCTCGCTATCCAAACACGGATTCTTCGGATGTTAAACATGTCATCAGTGGTGTGCTGCAAAACAGTTTGCTTTTTACAAAACTACATGATTGCCGTGGTTCGGTGGTCGGTAGGTTAGCGCGTCGGCCTCACAATGCGGAGGTGCAGGGTTCCATTTCGTCTCTGGCCTTCCTGTGTGGAGTTTGCATGTTCCCGCCGTGCCTATGTGGGTTTTCTGCGGGTATCACCTGACACGATTAGCTGGCAACCAGTTCAGGATGTACCCCGCTTACTCCCCAAAGACAGCTGGGATAGGCTCGAGCACGCCCGTGACCCATGCGAGGTTAAACGGATTAGAAGATGGATGGAATGATGGATACATGATTGCCACACGGTGGTGAACAACAGAACACTCAAAACATGTCGCCATTTAAACAGTGTCGACTTTTTGTAACAAAAACCTTTGGTCTTTTTTCATGAAATACATTCAAAGGTATCAAATTCAGGTACGGTAAGTAAAAATTCTGCCACAGTTTGGCTTTAGCCACAGGTGCTTCGACTCAACCAGCAGGTAAACAAGCTCCCCTTGAGGAGAAGCACCCATTGCCAAAGCCAACCTGTGGCAGGGTTTAAGACAGAAAAATTCAATTTTCACGACCACAAAATTTGAAACATTTGTTTGAACACTCTTCTTTGATGGCATGGAACTTGTTCCCGCTGCTTTATTCACAATTTGTGCAGATAAACAACAAAAACAATTTCAAAAACAATGTTGCTTTATTAATGGTGGCTGACCTAGGGCAAGTGACGAGGGGGAGATGTTGCACCGGGGAGTAGCAAACTGAACCAAACAGTAAGAACCAGCTTCAAAAAAGCGCCAAACGCAAAGCTATAGTGAATGGACATGAATGATTGCTGTCCCCAATTCCCTCATGGTTCAGTTAAACCATCAGATGGCTATTTTGATCACCCAATACTTTATTTCAAGTTCATTTTGACAGACAATGTTAATTTAAAGCAATCAAAACACATTTGGACTCGGTAGAGTCAATACATTTTTTTGAAAATCCAGTAGCGCAATCAGAGACAAGTCTGAGTCAAGTCTGAGACAAAAAAAAAAAAAGACAAAAAGCTTGTCGTATTTGAGTCTGGATTCCGACTCACGTACTACAGCTCTGCTTTCTGGACCTGGATTTGACACATTTGCTTCAATGGTGAAAGTTTGAAAGTCACTGAGTATGATTTCCTTCTTGTCTTTCATTTGTTTTTGTTTTCATTTGTGTGCTTGCTGGCACAACCAAAAAAGGAGGAAAATGAAGTGCAGGAAAGATGCAGAAATAGAAATGGAAGTGCACTTAGCCCCGAGGTGGTGCAAGCACCTGCCCTTTTACCCTGGATGAAAAAAAAAACCTTTTTTTTTTCTGCAGCCATTTTCTCCTTCATTCATAAATATGTAATAATAACAATCACATTATATTATTATTATTATTATTATTATTATTATGAGGGGAAACAACCTCACTGTCATCATTTCCACACAAATTATTATAAGAGCTGATGGGAGTTCTCCGGAGAATTGTATTGCACATATGCTCCAGCCTTGCCCACCATCCTCCTGTTCATGCCAGCATTTAAAATTAAACAGTTATGGTTCATAAATTAGTAATAATATTGCTGAATAATTAATACTTTGTATTACAAACTAATAAACAGTGGATAGAAAAAAGTCTACACCCCTGTTTAAATGTTAGGTTTTTGTCATGTAAAAAAATTTGACCAAAAGAAAGAACTTGAAACCTGTTCTCCACCATGTCTGTAAGATACGGCGTTGTTTTGGGGGTGAGCACGATTGTGTTTACACTAAACATAACTTTTGGTATTATGGCCAAAATGTTCAACCTGGGTTTCGTTGGAGTTTCAAACACATACACTTGGAATATTTCAAGTGTGTTTTGTTGCCTGGTTTGGATAAGATAAGGCTTCCATCTTGATATTCAGGTAATTTGACTGTCTTATTTTTTTTCCATGATGTCTTACTATATATATATATATATATATTAAGTATATATATATATATATATATATATATATACACAGACTTTTTATAGATCCTTTGTAGCTTCACTGCACCTCCTTTGTTAAAAGTTGTATCATCAACTTTGTTCCTTTTGTTCACAACCACACACCTTACACGCAAACACATCCACACTAATGTTTTTTCCCTTAATTGTATGAATAATTTTGAGATGCGTGGGCTTTTGGTGGACTTGAGCACCGGCCCCTCAAAATGTTTGTGCACGTGCCGGATACAAAGACAGTTCGGATGATCAATTGTAGAAGATGAGATGATGAAAGCAATCCACGCATGGCGTATCCAATCACTGACATTTCATTCACACGTGAGCAGCAAACAGGAGTAGATGGCTGCTCTGTCAAGTGGAACTCCTTCGTGTGGCTGATTCTGTGCTTTAAACCCAATCCAGCTCATGACTATTCATGCTCGAGCCTGTGGACGTCAGGACGCAGCGCATCGAGCTGTGAGGCTGCGTGCTGGAGAGACAGCATGCCACACTGGCCGACTGCATCTCTCCCACCGACACGAAACATCGTTGCTTGGTAGGGCGACTCGGTTCTCGATTCAGGCTCCGGTCGAAGGACAAGAACCACCAACAAAGGACTGCACTCGGCAAAGGACGATAGGCCTATGTGTATTTTTTTTTTACAGTTTATTTTGAAGCATGTGTGCACGTAGCGGAGGTTAAACTGCTTGGTTTCATATTTTCACAACCGGACAGATCTCGAAATAGCAGGAGGATGTTATTGTTGTGTTTCCCCCGAAAGATGGACGAGACATATTGGGGCTAACCGAGCGGCGACGTTCCACGGTACGGGCAGGGGGAAGATGCTTCGGAACCGCCGTGGGCTGTTTGAGATGATAAACGCGTCCCGTGGAATTATATCTCTGCTGTAAAGCGCAACTGCCGGCAACAAGAAGAGACATCGCAGAGCACCGCACCTTCAAGTCCGTATCGGCTGCTTTCGCGAGGTCCCACATGAGCTGACCGTGGTACTGCACGGATCACTCAGCTCGGAGCGACAACACGCGTTGACCTTCTTCGTCATCATCATCATCATCATCTTTTTTTTTTTCAAAGCGGAGTCACCCTCCAGTTAGACCCCCATAGCTGGCCAAAGACGCACATGAACAGTTCAGACTCGGCGGCCACCCGCAAGTCACTTTCATGGCCGTGGCACGCAAAATCAAAACTTTGCTGACCGTCAACATTCTCGTGTTTGTGGGCATCATCCTGTTCTCGGTCTACTGCAGGATCCAGGACCGTTCCGAGGAGTTCGTCCAGATCGGACGTGCTTCTGACCAGAGGCTGCGCGCCCGACATGGTAAAGTTAGCAACTTGGTGGACAGGCAGTCTATTCTTCAGCGGCTGGAGAGGCTGGAGGATGTCGTCTATAATCAACTCAACGGTAGGGAGATTACTACGATATGAATAATAATAATGACAATCGCATCAACGTTTGCTCAAGTCATCCTATTCAACTGAAAATCATTCGTTTCATTTCATACAGCCTCATCTACGAGATAAGACTTTGGAAAAACAACAATGTGAAGCAACGTGCAATTACAGAGCCTATGAAGCCCATAATTTTAATAAGATAATAAAGCAGCATGATGCATTCAAGTACAATATACGACTCTACCAGTGGTAACGGTAATTGATTCATGCGCCTCATGTTGCATGGCAATGTAAGTAATATTACTGTGACACAGCTGCAGATACATATGAACCCCTCAGATGCTGTCATTTGGCATGATCTTCACAACCTTTATCATTCAAACCTGTATATAAATCATCAAACTCGAAATTGGTTGAATCTTATGTGTCACTTAAATTACTTTCTTTTATCCTAAGTGTAAATGACTGTAGGTTGTTTCGTACCTAGACATTGTACACAAGATCTAAATATTGTAAATTGTAAAATTAGGCAAGTAGTCAAATCCTGTAATATAAAGATTACACCGCTAGCCATATTGATGCCAAATGTTTAAGGCATTCCACAAACAGTTTTGTGGCCTGCCGGTCTCTACTTAATCATTGATTCTGAATTCATTATTTTACAATTAATCATTTGTGTCAATACCTGTACTGTTGAAACTTGGATACCATAGGGTTGATGTAGTTCACATTGGCCACCAGTAGAGAGCACAACTATCTCAAAAGCCCTTTAATTAATGGCTCTCTCCCTGAATCCCAAATACAAATAGGACAGTGCAATCCGAGTCAAAAGTTCTGGCTTTGAATCTCAGCTGGCATGGTTGGCATATTCACCCCGTGTTTGTGTCGGATTTTTCCCAGTAATCACAATTCCTCCCACGTTTCAAAAAGCACACGTCATGTTCAGTGAAGACTGCAACTGCTGTGTGCGGACAGTTGTTGGTCACTAAATTGCCGCGGATTAACTGGTGACTGTACCATGACTCGCCCACAGTACAATTGGATAACCTCTTCTTCTGAACACAATACGTGGATGAAAATTAATAAATGCATTGTAAAAACAAACAAACAAACAAATAAATGTTTTAAAACTGACCATGGCAATGACAATACAAAGCAAGTCAATTTGTGATTATGAGGTTATTGTGGAGTCTACGTATGGCTGAAGAGAGGAAGTGGCCAACACATGTATGAAGTTACAGTATGCAGATTTCTACTTTGAATAAAAAACAAATACAAGAGGATTGAACTGTATCCAGTTCTCACAATATAATGCAGTAACAACAAACACTTGCCATGCCACAGGCTTTTCAAGCTTAATTGTGTTTCACTCAAAACAACAGTATGTCTGCATTCAACACATGCTATGGCCTTCCTGTGTGGAATATTCATGTTCTCCCGTACTTGTGATGTTTTTTTCTAATTGAAGAATCTCAATCATCCAGAGCTGTTATTTAGAATGCTTATTTGTCTATAAGTGATCTGCGATTGGCTGGCGACCAAAATATATTGTACTTTTCCTCTGATGGATGGATGGATGGATGGATGGATGGATGGGACAATCTCTGCCTGGAGACACATCCTGCCACATTCCCTGCATGAGTTCTTAGTAATGAAAAACATAATAGCATTCAGTATCCAAATCTCACTGCCGTTTCTAAATTGTGATTACTTCTCATAATCATGACATAGCCTTGGTGAGAGGGCGGCTCAGAATGCAAGGGAGACTATTACCATGTCCAGCAGCGATACGAAGTAATCACCCATTCTCTCTGTTGTTTATTGCCTTCCAATTGCATGTCACGGTAGTTACACCAAGGTTCAATTAGATTTAAAGGACATAAGTAAGTCTTGGAATTGTACTTTAGATAGTTTCCTGATGGCAGACAACTTGACTCCCAACAAGAAAAAAAAAAACAGTCAACATTTGTTAGCTGCTCATTTTGCCACACACAGCATCGAGATGAGGGTTATCAGCTGCCAAGCTTAGCTGTGAATGCCACCGCCTTTCGCTAATCAGTTGAAAATGTTGTAAGCTTGTTAACCAGCTCACGAAGCTGTGTTTTGATCTGAAGTACTGCATGAAGCTCAAAAGATACTCACTGTTGTTTGTTGAGCGTCATTAGGACTGTACGCACATAAGATTAATGTCATGAAGATATGTATATATATATTTTTTTAAACATTGTGACATTTACACATCCCTTTTCAGCGTGTTTATCTCATTATTATTATCTAATTTTTAGCTATTATTTTGCTTTAAAGTTGAGTGCATTTGATTCTTGCCTATTGTTTCATTCTCGGGGAATGTTTGTTATGTGTTTGTATGAATTTCTATGTCTGTCCCTGTGCTTGTTCTGGACTATTTTTTGCTTCCTGGTTCTGCCTGTTTCTGGCATTTACTTGGCCAGTTATTGCACATTCTCAGTGAATAATGCATAGCTATTAATAATGAAATGAAGCTCTCTTAAATATCCTTGTGGACATCTATGAAGGTCCACAATTGAAACTTGACCTAAATTAGAATTGTTTTGACATTGAGCAGGTACCATAGTATTGTTGTTTAGCCCTTCCATGCACCCTGTAACCTGAGAACATGAGAAGCTGTCCACTGTCGTAACCAATCCAGCGTTAGCGTCTAACTCCGGCTAGCCGTTAGTGAGCCAAAGAGAGCCATCAGATTACTTTTCAAAGGGAGTTTCATAGACTCTGCGCACTTTGATGCTGACAGCCAGACACAGTTGCTGATTACAAGTGATCAATTTTTACCAAGCCAGGCTTACTCAAATATTCCGTTTATGCCGGTTTCCTTCCACATTCCAAAAACATGCATGGCAGGCTAATTGAACACTCCAAATTGTCCCTTAGTGTGAGTGTGAGCGCGGATGGTTGTTCGTCGCTGTGTGCCCTGCGATTGGCTGGCAACCGTTTCGGGGTGTCCCCCGCCTACTGCCTGAAGATGGCTGGAATAGGCTCCAGCACGCCCCGCGACCCTTGTGAGGATAAGCGGATCGGAAAATGGATCGATGGATAACTGTAACATTCCCAGAGTAGGCTTCAGAATAGTACTGTATTAAAATAGTATTAAATTCTCCTGTCCATTCTACTTCATGTTTGGTCATCCAATCTTTTGCTTCATGACCGAGCCAAGTTATTGTTTATTTGATTTTCTATTAGTCTTCAGGTGTGTAATATTCAAGTATTGGAATTGGTAGGAATTTAGCAATCCGTATATGATCACATTGATCCAATTTCTGATTGATTCTCAGTGGCATAGGGAATAATGATGATGCAAATAATATACCAATGAGGTCGGTCATGACCATATAGATAGATAGATACACACACACGCACACACGCACGCACACACACACACACACACACACACACACACACACACACACACACACTGCTCATAAAAGGGAACACTTAAACAATGTAACTTCAAGTGTTCATTTTACACGCCAACATAAATAATTTTATGTCCCAATAATAGTATATATCCCCATATGTGATGTGGGTTTTTCCTGAAATTAGTGGCACTTTTTTTTCACCAGTTATTTATAAAATGCCTCCAGCTGGAGAGTGGGTGTTCCCTCATGAGCCGCACCTGTCTGTAATCATGCCTCGTTACCAGTTATCTTTAAAGCCACACCGACAACTGTCTATTGGATTATTTCAGCCTTGCTAATGAGTCTTGTCTCCAAGTGCCTGATTATTATTGACTTTTTTTGCCTCTTAGCTTCTTGCCACATTTTTGTATTTTAATTTTTTTCATGGAAGTAGTTCTTGCTGTTATTTCTTGGTTAGCATTGTCATGTATTGGATTGTCTTGTCCTTTGAGTGACAAGCAAACCACGTTTATCTTGTTCCTTGACTTTGGCAAGCGTTTTTGGTAGTGATGGGTCCATGAGGCCTCATGAAGCGTGTTGACACAATGACACACAGTGTTGATTCTGTGTCGCTGACCACTGACACCTGCTGGACTTTCAAAATCCCTGCAGGCAACCCACTTGACAGTCTGAACTGACTGATTGGATGATGAAGTGTATCCAATATCATTCACATCTATGCATTCATTTTGTATTATTCAATATGTTTGAATAATGTGAAAATTATGTAAATGAATATGCTTGTGGGCTTTGTCTTCACAAATTTTTATTCAGAAAAATTAGTTGCTCCAGTGTTTTGAATTTCAGTCTGTTGTGTTTCTTGCATGCTATTTCCCCTGCTGTGGAGAACACACACTCGCATGGCACTATGATGCCGGCGTACAGAGAAACTGCTTTGCGGGGTTGGAGAGGTTTGGAAAAGTAGCATGTTGGTCCTTCGATTAAAACAGCGGGTCTTGACTGCGTGCAATTTTCCCCTCTGCTAGGTATCGCTGGACCTCAGGTATAGCATCTGCTGTTGCACTTCTTCCCAGTCTCCCTACCTCATCATCCAAATGTTGCCACAGGTCATCTAAAAAAAACAAACCTAACAAAATTGGCATTTAGAACAGTTTCCAAAAAAACTAACTTAATGATGAGTAGTAACATGCCAGATGTAGTTGCAGAGGCACTTTTGTTGGTATACGATATTTCTGTATGGCAAATTCGACATTTCACCTGCAATAAAATATGGGAATAGTAAACTAAGAGTTACCTTGAAATTAATTTGAATTAGAATGGAATAAGACATGTCAAAAATCCAAGAGGCACTTGGTGAGACAAGGAGATTTGAATAAATACCTTATTCTCCAAAAGGAGATCAAAATGACTCTACACGGCAGACAATTTGTGTTTCTCCGGTAGCTGCTCCATAATATGCATGTACTGTAGCAACGCCACTCGACTGAAGCCTCAGCAGTCGAGAGTCCGCTGCTCTATGCTGTGCACGCGTGAGTGCGAGCACGTACTCACGGCGCCGACGCAACCCACATCACATATCAAAGAAGCTTTGAACTACGACAACAGCTAAGATAACCTA